CGGCCGCACACACAGTGAAGTAAATAGTGAAATCTGCAGTCCAACGCGATCGTATCTTATCTTATTGTTGGCTGGAATTGTGGGCTGGCTTGTTGTTGGCTGGCAGATTGTTGGCTAGCTTGATGTAGCTGGGAGTTTACGTAGTGTACGGAGTCAACAATGAAGACAGCAGAAGCGGCAGGCCCTATTTTTAGGCCTAGAAAGGCTTGGCTTCCCACGGCACGGAAAATACTTTCATTTAATGAAGACGCCTACATTTAGAAAGTTGATGATTACTCGGTAAAATGACCTAATTGGACTAAAATAAACATTCAGTTACAGGACGTACTTACTTAGGATGTGACAAACAACGTCCAGCTCCAGAAAAATTGTTATTATTTCCCTAAAACAACAACAGATCTCATAACTTCCGTGTTGAGGTGAAGTTGACCTAACTGCGCCTATATTAAGGTCAAAGCACGCCATCATTTCCAGTTGATGGTTCCCGGTGGTTAACTGGTTCGCCCATACGTGGTACGGTATTTTCACTCAAAACATTACTTTATGAGAAGGGGGTGTTTATATTACGTAACTTCGAATCCTATTGAAAATATTACGTATGTAATGGAGTGACAAACAATAATGGAATTTAAAGACATACTGTCATCAAAATAATTGTGAAAACTATCTCAATAAATTGAAATAAATCTTTTCATTTTGCATAAGTCATCTAACTTTTTTTTGTTAAGTCACAGATCGGAAAAATTACAATTATATTTCAAGGATTACGAAACCTTTTTATTTCAAAACTTTAATGGTATGCAAATACAATAAAAATTTGGAAAATATCCTTGTACTAATTTTAGTTGAACGCTAATAACTTATGAAGTAAAGTAAACAATTCAATTTATTTAAAAAGAAATTCAAGTTCATCATGGTCTCAACGAAGATATTAACTTTTAATAGGCCTCATTTTTACTTTATTGAAATATTTGGCAGATGTCCAGGGTCTGATACATTTGCAGTGTCGGCACTTACTGTGCGGCTATGCCATGAAAAACTCCGTCACGTCATTAGAAAACACCGAAGTTGTTAGTATAGTCTCATCAGGTAATTTTGCATCTTATGAGCAGCGCATATCATGACATGATTTATCACGACGGGACTAGGCCTACAGCTAAAACCCTAATGCCATCAAATTACAATCCAAAAGTATAATACAGTTTTTATACAAGCCTGTGGTTGAAAAAATTTCACATAGATGACTAGTGATGTTACTTAGGGGCGGATCCAGAGATGTCCGAAGGGGGAGGGGGACGGGCGAAACTGGGGAAAATCGAGATAACACTCACTACTAAGGGGTTACTTTTTCTTTTCTAGACGCCCAAAAATAACCAGAGGCGTTTTGGCCTATCAATTTTTCCCTTTCTTTCTTCTTTTTATCTTTTATTTTCCAAAAAGGGAGGGGGCGGGGCCGGCCCACCCTGCCTCCCTCTCCTTAAATCCGCTCCTGCTACTTTTGTTTGAAATGTCTTTGTATATTTGTGGGATTTGTTGAGTTGTGGAGAGAATAGTTTAAAGTTTTCGAAGATTTTTTTACGTTCATGATTTTACAACTCGTATTCACACCTGTGGTGGCGTTTTGAAAGCTTTTATTAAACCAAATAAAGTAGACAGGCGTTTATTACAGTACAGGGTCTGTAAATATGGTGATATAAAGCAAGGATTTCCTCCTAGAGCTGCTGATGGGTCAACGTTGGTGGCGTCAATGGCGTACTGATAAATTTCATCCCAAAGGGAAATACTCCGGGAACGAGTGCTGGTTGCGAGTGCTGATCGCGCTGCTATTGGAGCTGCTCTTTTTAAATGCAAAGAAATAAAAGAGAAATATAACAAGGAATGTTTACAGAGGCATCAAATCGTTGTATGACAAAAGGAAAAGCGACGCGAAAGTGTAGCGTCGGTTCAAGTGAATCAATAGGGCAAATTTTTGTTAGCATAATTGCTAAGTTAGCATAATAATAATAAACTTTCCTTAGCCACACAATGGCCACACTGCGTATCGGCTTGGCGTACAGCTAGGCCTAGCCGAGAATTACGGTACGGTAAAACAAAGCAAAATAAGGGTACTAATTTCACTTGGCATGCAAATCAATCATACTTACACACTTAAAAACAAACTAGTCTACCACTAAAATCACCTGCAAATTAAGATATAAGGCAAGTATGTCTACAAATTTGATTTTAAATTGATGTGGTTAGGCTAGCCTAGACCCGGCCTAGGCCATGTCTAACCGCTTTTAAAAATGCAGAAAAAAGACCCAAAACAAATTAGAATGAAGTTATCAACTAACCAGTGCATTAAAATTATTCATATACTTACTACTTACCTATATAAAATTAAAATGTATTGCTCACAAACGCCAATATTTGGATTTTAAAGCCCCATTCCCGGCAAAATTTCACTAAAAACTGACTTTTTTTAGAAAATATGCATTTGCATTACTCCAATTATTATAAATCATGGAAAAATATTGGCATGAATTTTAGTTTTACGCAAAAGAATAAAAAAAATGAGAAATACAGACTATTTCTCATAAAATATTACCATTTTCTCGACGAATTCACCGTTACTAGGCAAATTCAGAGGTTGTAGATCGCTTCCACTGGAATACTCTCGCTTTTATGTATACTTTATACAGTAAATAAAGTGCGCCCTCTCTAATGAGATTACTTTTTGTGCTTCGCATCTCGCACAATGCGGTCGTTCGGTTAGGCTGAGATGTGTTAGTGTAAGTGTCAAAATCTCAGTCAGAAACAGTTTTTTAACAAATTTGAAATAATTCCTATGAAATATTATATTTCACAAGTGTCAATACTAGCAACGGAAAATATCATGTCGGCCGTTTTTATGTGTGATAACAGAACCTAAATCGAGGTAAGGCTAGGCCTAGCCTAGCAGCGTTGGATAGGCTAATGTTTTCGGCGCCTACGATATTTCTTCTCACGACCTATTGCAAAATTAAACATGAAAAATTTATCCGCATTTATTTTTTGTGTGGAACACAAAAAAAAATCATTTTTTGTGTGGAACACAAAAAAAATCAAATTTCAGTCTTATTTTACATTTTTTTCATTCTTAGGAATGTCTAAATTCAGTTAAACTAGCAATTCCGTATTATATTTATAAATCTTTATAACATTATACAAAAATTAGATTTTTCTTAAAAACTGAAATTTTGCCGGGAATGGGGCTTTAATACGCCTTTTCCACGAATCGGTAGACATCTTGAAGTGATGACAAACAGCCTAAGTTAGTGGTGCGTAACAAACAAAAATAAGATAAGCTAGGCCTAGCTGCTGTACGCCTAGCCGATACGCAGTGTGGCTAAGGAAAGTTTTGTTTTTCTGAGCATGTGCAGATTGTGCTTATCTGGCTCATTTGCATAACAATACCGCACATAAGGCTAATTCAAGTTAGACGGCTTAAACAGGCCAGCTTCCTATCCTGTCAACAGTTAAAAGTCCTTGCTTTGACCATAGGCAAAGATACTAGAAACACAAGATGGAGTTCTCCACAGTAAAAAACTGTTTCACCGAAATGCATGGTGGGTACAAACAATGGGGCACCGCGTACGGCTGGATTTAAAAAACTTGTGTCGCCGTTACTTAACTGTGAATTTATAACCTCCTTTTGCGGATATAGAAATCGTTGCCATTATCCATAATGTACAAACATGTAGGCATAAATAAATACAATAAAATGGCAGACACAAAAGCGCAGAATAGTATGACCGGACTCTGATTAGTGATAAAGTTTTCCTCCATTAGTGCAGAAAAAGGGCGCCGTATGCGTCTGGATATACTTAGCAACAGAAGGGCGCCCTGTAAGTCTGGACCAAGTATAGAAAACTTGCATTATAAAAAGAGAAGGGCGCCGCGTATGTCTGGACCAATTTCCACCTCATTGCTATGCGAGTACTCTGTCTTGTATTTCTACTACCTTTGCATAACGTACGCCGCGCTACTTAAAGCCGGTTTTCCACTAGGTGAATTTATTCGCGCGAATCAAAGCGTCGGTTAGCTTCCTGAGCTCTGATTGGTTGCGCATTTTTGGGCTTCGCAAAAACCCGATAGAAATGTGAATGCGCATGCGTATGAACCGACACATTTGATTCGCGCGAACAAATTCGCCTAGTGGAAAACCGGCTTTACGTTTACTCGAACAATTAGAAGCGTCCGATTTACAATGCGCCTTCTCTTTAGAACAATTGGCGTAACGCGAACACCCTATCTCAGATCCATGGCAACGACTAGGACGCCCTATCCCCCAAAAGTGATTACTTTTCTGCCTTTGCTTTTCTGAGCCAAATCGACGCTTCTATTTGTTACGCGTATCGCGGAAAACGCCATCTTGTGTTTATAAGATCTTTGGTTTAAGGCAAAAATCAGTGCACTTCAGGGAGAGCTGGAGGATGGGGGAGAGAATTCCCTTAACATTTTGGCCCGCCCCGAGGGGCCAAATTCATTATGGATTCAGACTAAGGGACCAAATTTACAGGTGACCGAACTCCCTAAACGCCAGTCTCATTGATATGCTACACCGTACACATTAAAACATATGATACGACGAATGAAATTAATTTTAATGTTTATTCATAGTATTATAACGAGCATAACGACAATAAATTTAAATAGACACGTCAATGGTTTGAATGCGGTTAATTCATTCACTATGTGAACGAATGTAGTCCTAACAAAAGTGCTTCTCGGGTGCCCAAAACCAAGTGTCACATTTACGACACAGTGGTCATCAAAATACTAAAAACTGTAAAATGTTAATACATAAAAACATACCAAAAAGATGTGATTAAATTTAATAGAAAACACCAAGTAACTTATGATTACAATACATGAGGCCTGGTATCTATGTAGCGGATAATTAATGCTATAGGTCTATTACATTGTTTTCCTACAATTCGATCTTTTAACAAAACGTTAAAGAACACGTTATACGTTACAAACAATGTTCTATTATGCTATAGCTATTTTGTAAAGCATATGAATTAATATATTTACTTTTTGCTGTTTCTATGGTGTATAAGTATATTGCCGTTTATTTCATTAAGTTACATTTATAAAATGAATATGTGTTAACAGTAATTTGCTTCATTATGTTTACTTGCAGCTTTCTACATCATTTCTTAAAAACGTCCTTTTCATCAAAGGTATTGCATAAAATGCCTTGCTATAAGTACACTAATCATGTGATAGGACAGTATAATAAAAAAAATTTTAAAAAAACAAAAAATAAAAAAAAAACTAAGAAAAATCTATCGGGCTTGTTAAAATATAGGTACCAATAATGAATGAAGTATATAAATAAATGTTCAACAATAAAAGATGTGGTTTAATATTTATTTATGTCAATAGGTTTGAGTAGACCTTTTGTGAAAGGAAGGTGAAGTGGGCATTGAAAGTTAATTAAGAATTGACTATAATTGCTTTATTGTTGATGAAAACATGACAACACTATTAATTCAGATCTTTAAACAACAGATCAAGAACAAATTAATACTTAAAATAAACCAGTTTTACTCTCTGAACGTAAGCTCCTCGAGAAAACTTTCAATCCAAAAATCAACGTAGAGTGGATAGGTTTAATCTATAAATGAATTCTGAGGAACATTGTGCCAAGTATGAAATATTTAGTATTTACTAGGTAAAAGCAATTTATTAATATTCAATTCAATTTAATTTCTTTAATACCACAAATGCCATCAAGGGCCAATATCCGCACAACAAAGAATATTAGTAACTATGCATTACATTTACAGGGTAGGAAATTCACTCCGCTAAGGTCCAAATGACCTACATACGCCATCTAACTGAACTATACATCATGGGATAGGGACGTCTAATTGGAGTAAAGTGTAGTGACAACAACAGTTAGACGCGAATATGTAAAAGTCGCGCATGTCTAATTGGAACTAATTTTGTTGTCACTACACTTAAAATCAATAAGAACAACGAGACCAAAGTGGTGTGACGTATAATTATTTACCGTGTTCATGAATAACCACTACTCCGTATCCTCTATCTATATTCTTTAGTATATGTACACTATTGCAACATGCTTGGGGTGGATGGAAGATTTGGCGGTAGGGGTGCGTGAGAATCCACACAACCTCAGACCCACCATGGTTGGGGCTGCGCTAGGAACATTTCAGAATATGGACCACAAGGTGTCCGGAAACTTCACTCCCATACCTTCAAAAATTTTACCGATATGTTCATATCAACAATACCATAAAACAATTATTTTTCTTAATACAATTTACCGATAGCACCCCCATCCTGCATCCGCCCCCAGCATGCTATGAGGAAACGGAATTACGAACGGATTGGGTTAGACAACGATCAGACTACGCCCGAAGATGGCCCAGAGGGGCAGAAACTTGCGTGAAATACGTTACGTGTGTAATTACATATAAAATTTGATCGTTAAAGATGGGAATCTGCCAGTGCGAAAAAAAAGTACGAGACAGGGTTAGCCCTGTTCTCAACGCATAACCTGGAGGGCCAGTGGATGCTTAACTCATTTCTGACTTTCAACCTGTCCAGCATTATGGCCCTACCAATGTAGCAATTTTAAGAAAACCAGGCTTAAGGTTTATTTAGGCAGTACTACACATTATAAATGTATCGCCCCTCTGACGACTGGCGTACGTAGTAATACATTTGAACAGATTTTATGTCGTATAACGACTGTTCACGGTGATCAAGGGTGCCTTTAACGCAGCATTTGTACCGGTCCACTTTCAAATAAAGTTAGCGTCATATAGTTCATCGTTCTGAATCTGGATCTCGTTTCCTTCTCAAAATGAATGCATGCATAGAGGTAGTCGATACATTTTTCAAAAAGTAGTAGTCTGCAAAACAATGGAAGTTACACGAGCAACATTCAAGAATCGATAGTAGGCCTATTAATATTAAGTAATTGTGCGCCGCAATTCATTTTGAACCAAACAATAAGTGCGTTTCCCGACAACCGATTTAGATATAATCTAAGATGCAATTCTTTTGTAAATTGAAAATCATTTTTATATTACATATATAACATGTTTTCCAGATATTGAAGAAAAACGGAACATAAGCCTATAATATTGCAGCAACATAATTTAATTGGGGATTTCAATCCATACTTGACTGGTAAATATCATTCAAAAGAAAATAAAAATTACTGATTGATAAATAAATTCCCTGCACCTTGTTACACCAGCAATTCCCTGCACTTGATTCTAGCTTGGACTCACTTAACTTTCTGTATTAGTGTCTTCATCACTCAAACCATGCCACCGCCTATGTCCAATCATTACCGTCACCGTTATCATCACTGTCATCGATATCAGCATTCCCTTATCTTCATCATCATCATCACCATCATCTCCATCATCATCATCATCACCACCACCTTAATCATTATCGTCGCCGTCCTCTTCATCATCATCATCATCATCATAATTATTTCATATTTTCGTGGGAACTCAGGTAAACAAGGTTTTTGTAGTAGGACCTCTGGATTCATGTAAAAACAATCACATTCTAACAGTTTGCCTATCCACCATTTAAAGAAAAAAGCTGGATCGTCCTTGAATCTTAGTGATCTATAGTCGGCGTAGAAGCGGTTGGCGCATTGATTGTCGCTTGGACGCCCAACTTGAGGTCAGGGATTCGAAAGTCACTTGTGTCCTTGGGCACGGTACTTTATCTACGTTTGTCCCTCTCTACCCAAGAGTATAAATGGGTACCTGGTAGGATGTTGTCGCATTGAATGTAGTTTCGTGCGCTAAACAAGTAGCGACAGACTAGGGATACTCCCGTGGGAGCAGAGAAGGTTGCACTTTGTGCTGTGGTTTGCCATTGTATGTTATCCAGTGACCAGAGGTAATAACGGTCGCGCCTTTGATCATTCAATTTAAAATTGGTCAGGTCTTTATCACATGGTGGATCTGTTCATGGAGATATACCTACATGGACTGCTGCTGTCACTGCCTTTCATATATAAACCAATAATTGACTAATTGTAATCACTATAAGGCCTACCAAAGCAAACGCAGCACTTAATTAAAAAAAACGTTTTAACAATTTTTGATAGTACAACTCATCTAAAGAATGATAAATAATTCATTAATGCTTCAGGCCAAATTTGGTAAGTGTTATTAAAATCGTTCCAGCAATATTTTATTCGAAACTTTAACGGTATTAATTTGTAGGCCTATTTCAAAGATAAATACATAGCATAATTCATCTTGTGTATTCAGTTATATATTTTGCAATACCCTGGAAGTCGTGTAAATATAATATGTAGTTTTTTATTCATATTGTATTATGTATTCGTGTTTCTTGCACTTTAATTATTCATGGAGGAATAAACAGTTCAGTTCATCTAGTATGGCATTGATAAAAAATTAAATTGTGAACAATTTATCATTTCGCAATCGACCTAAATTGTCTTATTCATATGATTTAAAATTGGATTACGAATTGTGATTTGGGCATTATTTTGAGTCATGATACTTTCAGTGTCCAGATATACATACCGGTAAGCCTTTTTAACCTGGATGTGGTTCTGGGCCTCTATATAGCATTATGTACAGGCCATATAAAGCCTTTATTATCTCTTTAGTGGATATCAGCCTAATGTTTTCTCATGTAAGTTTAGGATGCCCCGTTTAGTAAGGTCATACTCTTAAGAAATCTTCTAACGGGAGGGTTTCATGAACATTACGCACACACCCTCCCCCGGTGACCAAGTCAGCTACGGGGATCTCTTCGATCTGTTCTGTGAACACTTCGCTAATAACAAATCACTAAAGTATGCTCTTTAAATGACTCCCATATATAATATTATATTCAGCCCACGAAACTTAGACTCAGAAATACAGGGATATAGTCCGGTGGGAGCAAATATTTCAATATAGATTAATTTAGTACGAACGATGTATACAGTTTATGTTGTACTATATATTTTTTGACAGTAAAGTAGCTATATTTTTGTACTGTATGTATGACATTAGTAATCAATCTGGCCCTGAAATCACAGACTCAATATCACCATGGTAATCCTGCAGGATTACTTAAGTAAAAGAGTAATACATAAAGTAATTATTAATTTTTATAATCATTTTCGGGCCTCGAAACATAAACTCAAAAAAATAGGGATGGTGTTCAGCGGGGGATGGTTACTATAGATTACTTCAGTAAAAGTGTAACTTTGTTAATTGTATAAATCTTTGTTAATCTGACAGGCCAATTTATATTTGTCAAGTGTCCAAACTATACTCTCGAACCAGGGCCTATACGAATCACTACTGATGACATGTGGCAATATTGTTGACTGTAACGTATAAACATTTTGGAAATCAGAATTAAGATGGACCGAGAGCTGGATGCCTCATTTATGAACTTAATTGAAAGGGTATGGAAGAATTGTAATTACTATATTAATGGGTTTGATATTCCTATCAATTAATATAATTCTCTGATTGTAACGATCCGATAAACAGCTTCCTGTATTCACTCCTAAAGGTCCAATACTTAACATCTGAACCTCTCCCAATGCACGCACACACACACACACACCACACAACACAAGGGGTAGATCTAGAGGCATGGGGGAGTCATACCCTCTCCCTCCATATGCCGTTTTTATTGTTTCAAATTTATATTAAATGATATAATTGTCATTATATATTTACTTCCATATAAGTATCCGATATCAGCAACACCTTTACACATACGTACACGCACGCACACATCACAACACATGCAACACGTACGCGGTAAGCAGGCCAAGGTTTTCTTGTTAGCCCTTGGAAGTGTTCATGAATACACAGACTTACGTGACTATGTGATACCTGTTCACTGCCAACTGAGTTGACCTTTAAAAAACACCTCATCCACGTTTGCTTCTTCATTTCATCTTTCACCTAAAAGCAATTGTATGAACTATACAAACAAACACAAACAAACTTGCTACATATTTAAAGAGAGAAATGGATTCGTATAACATAGTTTCAACATATCTGGACAAATGCTCGTCGTCGCAGTTCCATATACACTAGTGTGTAGGGTATGTCATACTGTGGCCTCGGTATTTAAACATTCTCACTTTTGATATATGCATGTAGTAAAACGAAATCAATATCCATCAACTGTACTTATATTAATTAAGGATATTACGTCTAAAAGAATTACGTCAAAATTTACCAATATATGCAACATCTTGTATTTTATCGAAATTGTTGCGGTAATGTTTGACTCCAGAAATTTTCTTCTAGTTTTGTTGTTTAGTTGTTTACTTGTTAGTGTGCATTAATGTATTTCTTGTTTTTTAATGTGTAAAAACGTCAGGTACCCATTACCTACCTGCGGACTTAATACGATGCATACAAGGAATATAGCGAGTCCTTGGCTTCCGTTGAAAATGACGAACACATAGGAGAACAACGTCGTTCCTTTGTTGTAAGCAAATATACCAAACAACCAAGTAACTCCCAATAACGGCACGAGTATGAGAGCACCCCTCACAGCTTTCCTGTCGTCGAATCAAGATTATTTTATATTTACATATTCATAATAAAAGAATTTATTATTTATTATTTATTATTATTATTATTATTATTATTATTATTATTATTATTATTATTATTATTATTATTAATAATAATAATTATAATTTTATTGTTTTTTTTATTTTTTTTTAGTTTTAATTTCTATCTTGTTTGGATTTGGATTTTGGACCATGTGTTTGATTATTGTTGCTTTTATTGATCAGCTCTTTTTTTTATATACTGTTCATATATATATATATATATTTTTTTTTCGTTTTAATTTCTATCTTGTTTGGATTTGGATAATAATAATAATAATAATAATAATAATAATAATAATAATAATAATAATAATATTATTATTATTATTATTATTATTACTTATGCTTTCAGATCTTTCATTTGTAAAGTGAATATAAAACTCGATTAGGCCCATATTAAGCGCTTTTAAACAAAACAATAAGCAATTAGGAGAGCTCCGCATAGTACACTATAGGAAAATTATTATACGAAGGTTAGCTTAATGCTTGAAAAAAATTCCTGAAGGCCTGCAAGACCCGAATGAAACCTTTTAATGCATTATTAAACTTAACCTAAGTATAATAATTTTCCTCTAGTGTACGATTCATGCTCTACTAATTGTTTTATAAGTCAATCGCCGTCTTTTATTTTTAATGTTAGTTTTGATAACCAAATGTTGTAGCAGTCATCGGTTGCTATTATTGATATGCTGGTTTGTGCTCCTGCAACGCACGTTAATTTAATCACAGAGCTAGCGATGTTACACTGTATGGATACGATGAATATTAAAATTATTTTATTGTGTTACAAGAACTTGTTTGTAAATACTATTTTGGTAGACATTCGTCAAAGAAATAAGCATTTCTTAAAGCATTTGACAGAGAATACAATAGTCACTTTTTGGTCGGTGCAGACAGGTAAAATCGTGCGATGATTCACAACAAGGCTAGGCTACAACCTCTAGGAAGGAGGCCTTGGCGGCCTCCCTGCCTACCTTGCAGGTACAGTAATTTTCGGGGTAATTTTGAATTTTCATCGCGGTGCGTGATATGTTCGTGGTAACAAAAAAATGAGAAATTGTTTTGGCACACGAACCTAAAAAAAACCAAGCCAAGCGTCCTCTAATTTAAAAATTATTTGACTGTGGGGGATAGACAAATAACATTGGGAGTTGCAGTGATGACGTCACGATTGACTTATAATAACAATTATAATACTGCATTAACAATAATAAAAATAATAGTTATATAATATTAAAATGATGATGTGTAGTAAAAACCTACTTACCTAATCATTGCAAACTCCTTCTTTTGTTGAGCTGTCGTATGTCTTTTTGAACGCATGTAAATCGTTTTAGCCACTTTCAATATAAGAGCTAAGTTTGCCTGTCAAAAACATACAACACGAGTAATAAAAATACAACTTAAAATAAGGAAAGAACTCCCAACGACAAATGCGTACTTTAGAAAATACACATTTTTTGTACATACATTAGGCCTATCCAGATTTTGGCGTAGGACAACTTCGACTACCCTACGTATCTTTTTTTTTATTTTGCATCAGCTGATACTTAAATGTTATGATGGGTATTATTTTACCAGTGTTTAATTGAAAGCTAATCTACTTTTGGGTGTCATCTGTACTTGGGTGATCGTGGATTGTACTCAAAATTTTATACAAGAATACTTTATGTAGGTCTTTGGATGACAAAGAATATGACTCCTGGACGACCTCCTGTGGCTGTAACTAAACTGATTCTAATATTAATTTTGCTTTGTCCAGTGTGTTAGTTCAAGTAAGATAAGAGAGATATCATTATTTTATTATGTATTGGCCTACTACAGACTAAGTTATTTAAGACTGCTTACCAAACATATTATTAATGCTGGTCCTGCGAACGCCCAGATGTGGCCGTTAGATGGAGTTAACCAACACCTTGATTTGAAACGTAAGAAAGTTACTATTAACATTACTGATATTGTTAGCAGACTACTGCCAATCCATTTTTTTTTTTGTAGGATGTTAAAATTAAAATTCATTTTTTGCTGAATGATGAACAATTGTGGTTTTCTATACTAAAGATTAACAATTTATTTCTAAATTAATTAGGGTAAGACCTAGACTATACAGTGTCGTCAATTGAATAGTTAGTTATTGTTACATTTATTATAAATATTATTATTAATATCAGTATCATTACTATTACCGTTACCACTGCTATTACAATTACGATTTATCATTAACATTATCATTTTCCTCCTCATCATCACCATATTATTATTATTATTATTATTATTATTATTATTATTATTATTATTATTATTATTATTATTACGATTATAACTATTAATATTATTACTAATTACTATTACTATTATTTTTTTTCTTATTATATATTTTTATTATCATTACTATATAGTAATTATAAGCCTATTGTGATTGTTGTGATAAATGTTGTTATTTAATTATTATAAACTCACGCATTATCAGTACCAAATCCATCAACATTACAAGCAAGTGCGACCCCAACGACCACCATCGGTGCACCATAACAACAAACGATGTATCGCGATATCTTTCTGTAACGGACACTGGTCCCGTGGATATCGAATATTTTGAAGTAGAGAAAAACGGCTTCAGCTAACATCCACATGAACACGGCGAGTAGCAGGTAAAGGAGAGTTGCAGCTATGACAGTGCACCCGACCTGCATTTTGGGAAGAAAATCATTATTTTATCTACTATTAAATCTACATGATTCAGTAGGCAAAATGTATCTGATGTGATAGGGCAAGTCATACTACATACACACACGTCACACACCCACACACATAAGTACATGAGGACATCTATGTAGAGGCCTACCTATACCTGTTTTGCACTAGTGTTATTTAACCGTGCATCGCACAAAAAAAGTGTGAAATAACAGTGGCCCCAGCGGCCAAGATAATCCTGGAGTCCGGGAACCAATCGTTAAGGCATTTGCGTGGACAGCAGAAGGTCTCCGATTCGAATATCTAGGTTTAGGCAATTGTTTTCAAGAACCGAAATTAAAAAATCATAGGCTAGATATAGTCTTACTTTACTAGATGTTTTTTCAATGCCTGTTAGAAACAGCATGTGCGACATTACCAACGTGATCATCAAATGTTTATGAATACTTGTTCGGACACAATCACAGAGTCCTCTGTAGAAAACAAAAAACAAAAAAAAACAGAAAGGGGTTTTAGGAGTCAAATACGTCATTGGGTCCTGCATGTTGTATTCAACATAAATATCCAACGAAATGTATCATGTCATCGTCAATATCAAATTATATCGCATAAATGACATATCTTCTATAGGACTACAATATAATTTTATATATAATCAGATTTATTCATATTGAAACTTAACACGCCTATAGATCTTTAAACAATAAAATCGCCGACACACGACAGAAAATAAAAATGGTATCGCGTAATTGTGGCCTTGAATATTAACAATCAAATTATATCGCATAAATGACTGATATCTCTGATATCTACAATAGGACTACAATGTAATTTTATATACTCAGATTTATTCATATTATCTTTAAACTTAACACGCCTATAGATCTTTAAACAATAAACTCGCTGACACGCTGGTCAATTCTCCAAATAAAATGATCGTATAAAATAAATAAAAAAAAAAAAAAAAAAAAAACCAGAAAAAAAAAAAAAAAAAAAAAAAAACAGAAAAATAGGAAGGAGGAGGGAGAAGTTATTTTTAAAAAGAGTTTTAGCAGTTTTTATCCAATTTTCACATGTTCATTATACAAATCTTTACTGGTGTTGGTCGGTTTGAGTTTCAGGGGGTGGAGGGTATTACTCTAACCATAAGAACTTTATTAGGGGAGACTGAGAAAATTGCTTTTTCGTATTTCTTGTCTTTGTTTAGACCTTTGTTTTTTCTTTAATTGTCATGTGAATGTATACTTTGAAAATTCTAAATAAAAAAAAAAAATAAAAATAAAAATAAAAATAAACAAAATCGCTGACACGTCAGAAAATAAAAATGTCATCGCGTAATTGTAGCATGGAATATTAACAGACGAATTTACTGACCATGTTCAAAAGAACAAGAATAGTAATCTTGATGAGGTTTGTATGATAGTGGAGGATTCAAATGCAATTTTTCGAAGTTAAAACAAAATAGACAAAACAAAAACAAAAATTGCTATACAAAAGTCTGAGAGTGCATAGCCGTCGAAAGCATTTTGCAAGCAGTCCGGCCAGCATTATAGTAAGAACGGGGTGGGGGAGGGGTGCCGGGTTAGGTATTGGTTGTTATGGATACAGGATGTTAAAGTTAGTGGGGTCTGAGAGCACTATCTCTGCCCCCACCATGGTTGGGGCTGAGGCGCGGACATTTTGGAAATATGGCACCTCTGGATGACCGGAATTAGCAGGCAAACCTGTAGAGTGTCTATCCCTCCCCTGGACCCCTCCCCATCCTGCTGTACATTCGCAGACACAAGATTTTAAAAGCTAGTATGGGTTATAGTTTATACCCACCTCAGTCTCACTATGGTTGGGGTTGAGGTGAGCAAATTTGAAAATATGGCACCTCTAGACAGTGGCGTAACTAGGTTCCGAGGGCCCGTCGGGAGTAGGCCTAATGTCATATATATTATACAAAACTGAAAAGCTACTTTATTGTCATAAAAGTACGCAATACTGTACATATCGTACTTTTACAAAATGTAAGTTTCGTGGCCTGAATGTAGGATTATTATATGGGAGTAATAGTGTCCATACACAGGCCTAAAAACTTTCGGAGCATGCTTTTGTATGTTCACAGCAGACTGAAGAGATTCCCATAGCTGACTTGGTCGCCGGTGCGAAAGAGTGCATGTGATGTTGATGAGGTACCCTCATAGAGATATAATAAGAATACTAGAGCGCTAACCGCAATGTATTCGATGTTCGAAATACGCAGAGCTGTGTGTGTGTACCATCCAAGATGGCTGCCATATATTCAGCCAATCAAATTTCGCCTGAGCACTATCATTTTCAATGGCGCCCTCAATTTACACAGAAAGTTCAGTACAGCTATGTTTGAAACTCGAGCGTTGTGGTGTTTGGGTGTAATGCAGACGATTTTAATTTTCATTACTTGGTACTTTTTTTTTTTTAAGATGCTCCACTTGGCCTCGTTTTGGCTACGACAGTTTAATAATTTGTCATTATCAATACTAATTATCATTAATGAAATAATATTCAGTCAGAGGGCTTATTTATGGTAATAATATGCATACTAAACCTGAAGGTGGCGCTTTCCTACGGCAGCCATCTTGGATGGTACACATCCAAGAATAGCTCTATGGGTACCCTCCCATAGGAAGATTGTTTTAAAGAGTATAACCTTGCATGGCATAATATACTTATCCGGTATTACATTAGGCCTAAATTCACAAAAAAAAAAAAAAAAATGCCCTCTACATAATGCTAAAAAGTTACCCAGAAAAACACCCAGGTTAAAAATTTTATAGCTGGACACCGAAGGTAGTAGCATGTCTCAAAATAATGACTAAATCACAATTACTAGGCCTATTTTAAATCAACGTAGGTATATTGAGAAATGACAACTTGTTCAAACAACCAATAACATGGTTGAGATCTTATTATTGCAATGCATTGGACACTGGCCAATATTCGTCTTCACAACCAAGGTCATTGTATTAAGTCTGATCTCGAGCGCTATACAAAATACACTATTGGTACAAGATGTGTTTTATTCGAACTATTCTGGCGATCGCGTTTTAATAACGCCCTTACATCTACACGACAATAACACAATATTTGTGCACACTGCTTATAAAGGCATTCATACCTTAAACAAAATAGAATGAAAACTCCTAATATGAGAGCCACAGTGGAAATGATGAGAAGTACTTGTGAAAGGAGTGTTAAAGTGACGTCATTGGAACTGGAAACCTGGAAATATATCTCAGATGTCAACTATATTTCTGTATTGAAAATAACAAGTTCATATATTGCATACTCTGTGCATTGTAACTTAAAATATCACCTGATCATAATTAATACAGGTGACACAAAGCACGTGACGTTACGGTACTGAGGCCCTATTTGCTCTCTGTTGTTTAGGAACACATGATATTGAATTTTTTTACTTAATGAAAGTACAGTTTTACGTCAGAGGGAGCTATGTTGCCGCATGTCATAATAAATTAGCATTATTTACGAATAGTGATAAACTATGAAAAATGTTCAAAAATGCAAAATCATTTTTTTGTTCTTTCCAAACCTCATCGTCTGTAACTTGCACAAGAACACTGTAGCTTGTAGTATGGTTACACACACAGCTGGTTTCTGTTTGAGAAGCATTTGTCACCTGACATCCCTTATCTGACCAAACCCTTACGAGTAAAAACAAAACGATGATGAATTTTAGTCAAATAATAATGACGTGAAGCACATTAATTTAAGTACATTGATCATATACATCTGTGTCTCATTTTGGAACTTGATAACTTATTAGATGTAATTTCGTCCAGATTTTAGCATAAAATAAGAAGAATGTAAATTAATTATGGAAAGACTTTCCACTCTCAACCGAATCTGAAAATGTGCAAATTTTATATCAAAGTTTCACATTTAGGAATAAACATGCCTTAATTGCCATTACAAAAGTAATTGTTATATTTGAACCTACATTGTGTACATATCCCAGAACATGCAGAACACCTTTTCAGTTATCTGCAAAAAATTAATCAATAGGCCTACTTATCAAAAATCAATACATAGGCTTACAGTTGTAACAAATTCTGTTCAATATAAATCATGCAAAGTATTATCACCGTTCAAAAAACATTGAATTCAAAAATGTTAGCGCTAACCGTTAGCAGTATCCGGATACCGCTACTAACGGGTTAGCAAGCGCTATCGGTTAGCAGGTTGAGCGTGTTTCTATCATCAACCAATCACACACACGCGTTTACAGTTTCTTATTGGCCAGTGATTCGATCATCACATTTTTTTGGTATCCGGATCGAGATATTCTCGAATGGACGCACGGCAGCTATCCGGATCCTGCTAACCGTTAGCAGCCGTGTGAGAACATAGCCAAGGTCTCACAAAAAGACAGCGTAAACGTACGTCAACTATGGGACAACACGTGGGTTTGTGATACAAACACGTATTCCAGGTCTGCTCTGATTGGTCAATTATTAAGTTAGATTAACACTCCGAAAAGGTCCATTAAAGTAAGATCAAACAAACCTTTACGGTGTAAAATAGTAATAAGCTAGTTGTACTTTGAATTGTGCATGCTCGTATCAAGGAAAATCGACATAAACAAACATACACACAACATATACGCAGTTCAAACTAAGAATTGGCTTATTGTGAATAAACAAGTCTGAGGTCATTATGTCAAGTGAGCATATTGTAACTATGAGGTGGGCGGGGCTTAGATGTTGAAAAATTCATCATAAATCATAGTTTGGTTTATTATGTCACACATAACACTTAATATTTACATGCATTGTTCGTTTAACATACCTATTTTAATATGTAGCTAAACGAAGATATGAAGTTTAGAAATCGTTAAAGTACAGTACACATCGTATTGTGAGACCTACCTGTTTATGTGGTATTGAAAATTTGATGTTGGCATCTACTTGAACATTTGATTCAGGAATTATTGAAAATGAAACAACGCTGGTCTTTACAGCAACTCCGACTTTCTTTGGTCTTTTAGAGAAATGAAAGAAGATTAAATGTTATGTTCATTGGTGGCTACCACCAATTTCATGGCCAGTTTGACTAAACTCATAATAGGACAATTGGTATCAATAAAATAGTGACAGTTATAATATTTACATTCCAGCTGATAATATTTTCGGAATTAATGTCATTTATATAGCAATAAGATAACTGTTTAACTTTTTATATTTGGTAAACTGGCCACGTTAGTTCTTTTGGTAACCTACCCTAAGACTGCTCTTCCAGGTAGGCCGCTGAAAAACACTTCGCTAAAAACTGTGTACGTAATCTTAATCGACTCTGAAAAAAAAAAAAAACATAACTAACTGGGCCATCTGTACATCGTAAACCTGTCCCAGTTAAATTTAGAGGTTTTTTTCTATACACTCCTAAAGGAAGTACAACTGACTTTTCAAGATTAATACTTAAGCCAGAGTAATGTTTAAATTCTTTCAGGATATTCCATCCGTCTTTCCATATCTTTTCCGTTTTCTCTTCACTATGAGTTTCTTGAATAAAAAAAATTGAGTAAATTGAGTTACTAAACCAATTGAAAACTTGTGCACGCTTTTTTGGGTTGGCAAGGCCTCTAACATTCATTGAGCAAACACTTACATTATTCATCTAAAGAAAAAAAATTAAAATTTGGTAATAATTAGAGCTGTAACAAAATGGTGACCTATTATGAGAACTTACTATTAAGCCTATTTTATTTATATATAATATTTCAATTAAGTTTAAACAAAAAAAAGCAAAAAACAAGCAAGAAAACACAAACAAAAAGAAAAAGTGCGCGTATGCGAGTCCCATTAACATCTGGGACTTTATCTTCATGGCTAAAGTGTTAGATGTCAAAAAAAACTTTCTTCCATTCTATACCCAATTTTCATGAATATAAAGTACAGTAAAAGAACGGCTATTCTGCAAATTTAATCCATGTTGCATTTGATTGGCTTCTTTTCCTGAATTCAAGAACAAGCTCAGTGCCCACAACTTTAATTCTGGTCGACATTCCATTTGATCTTAGTTCCTGTGCTTTAGAAGCAAGTTTTCCACGTTGTTGTTTCATTTTCGGTGGAAGATCCGTGTATACTGAAACTGGACGTGTGCCTTCTTTATACGGACGTTTCCTAGCCAGATATAGGATATGGTCCCTATCCGCCATACAAACGAAACGTACTATAATAGGGTCTGGCCCTTTTACTGCTCCCATAATATGACGGCGAGGCAGTCGGTGTGCATTCATAATTGGTATGTCATTTGCTTTTTCGATAGGCATACCAAGATCCTTATGTAATACCCCTCTAATAACAGAGTAATAGTCGACATTTTGCTGGCTCTCGAGCTGAACATTGTAAAAAAGAAGATTCTGTTTCCTATCAAGGATTTCCATTAAAAGCATAGCTTTTTGCAAATTTTCAAAATTATTGTTGTCTTTTTCATTTCGCTCAATTTGTTTATTGTTAATTTCTTATAGAATGCTTGCCTGGAAATCTTGGGCACTTTCTAAGACTTTAATTTTGTTTTCATTTTGTAATGAAAGCTTTCCCAAATTTGCTATTTTCCTCTCCATGGTATCCATTCGTTTATTGAGGTTGGTTTCCAGTCTTAGCATAATGGTTTTCAAATCACTATTGCTTACCTCATCAGTTGTTTCATATCCTGTGTCCGTAGGCCCTGGTGAATTCGAGCCCTCAGTTGCACGTGTTTCAGACGCCGGGCATGTCTCGCCCGACACAACAGCTTCACTGGTGCTACTTGGCTTAGCTGGCGGGTCTATGGCAAGCCGTTTTATCATTTACCTCTGAATTGCAGTTAAGTCGAATGTATTACAGTTAACTGTAATTCAATTACAGTTAACTGTAATACATTCGACTTAACTGCAATACATTACAGTTAAGTGTAATGTATTACAGTTAACTCTAATTCAATTACAGTTAACTCGAATTCAATTGTAGTTAACTGCAATTAAAATTTTGTTTTTGAGTTAAGTGTAATTTATTTAAAGTTAACTGCAAATCTATTTCAATTATGTCTATTTCGGCTTAATACGAAAACATTTGCAGTTAACTTGAATGCATTTCAAGTTAACTGCAAATCATTTCCAGTTAACTGTAATGAAATTCAAGTTAACTGCAATTCAGAGGTTGGTTGTAATTAGCGTTAAGTGAATACGATTGGTTGTTTGCGTTTACGTAATATCAGTGCTATATGATTGGTCAGCCACAGTTGATTGAATTACAGTTATGGTGTATTTTCATTAAGTAACTGTGATTGGCTGATGTGCTTTTTCCGGTCGTACTTGCCCGGTAAAAAAACAAATCATCAAAACGGTCGTTCAAATTTAATAAAAATGGCGTTTGATCATTCTGATGATGTACTTTCTACCGTTGGACAAACTGTTCGTAATGTTACTGCAGCATTAGAACAGGGAAACACTGATTATAATCAATTACAGAATAATTTAAGAACATTATTCGTAATGTAAATAGGATTTCTGCGACGCTGACCAACAGTCATTGGAGGAAGTGGTACAATCAATAGTGTACAAGATATGATTGACCATGTGGACGAACTGAGGAGGGTGGTAGAGGGGAGCAATAGGGGTAGGTCTAGGACTAGGCCTACGCCTACGCCTACAGCGGCAGATGAACAAGGAAAAACGCCATTTCAACTACCACGTATACGCCCTCCTAAAGTTGAGATTTCATCTAGGCCTAGACCTGGCCTGATTCTAGGTTAATAACAGAACGTTATTGCTAATATAATATTACTTAATGATAGTCCTGGGCCTAGGCCTATAAGCCTTAATTAAGCCTGTTAAGTTAGGATTAATAATAATTAATACACATTACACAGCAGTAGGCCTTGGCGGCCCGCCTAGGTCAGACGCGGTGGTAGTACGTCTACTAGGCCTAGGCCTAGAAGACGTGGTGGTAGTAGGCCTACTACTACTATTACTACTAGGCCTACTCGTAGCACTGGCAGCAGTTTAGTAGTAGAAGGCCTAGGTCTATGTCTGACGTGGTCTCTGGCACGCGCAATAGCTTGAGAAGCCACATTAGCCACTTGCTCCAAATGCCTCCCAGATTCAGACATAACACTTTTTTAATTTTGGGTAACTTCGTACTTTTTTAAATAAACCACTTAAACACAATTAAACCGTATAGCAAAATGGATTAAAAAGTTTTTCTCTAGCTCTAGGCAGTCGATGACGATTCACAGGCGGAAAATTCAACAGCCAATCACCATCACTTAATGGAAATATACCTTATAAGTGAACATCAAATCACAGTCACTTAATGGAATTCCCATATAATGGTCGATTGCACTTAACTCAAATACAGCAGCCAATCACAATCACTTAATGAAATTACCAAAAATGGTCAATTGCAGTTAACTTGAAATGCATTCAAGTTAACTTGAAATGCATTCAAGTTCACTGCAATTGAATTAGAGTTAACTCTAATTCATTTCAAGTTAACTGCAATTCCAATGTATTTCAGTTAACTTGAATTCAATTCGAGTTAACTTTAATTGAATTACAGTTAACTGTAATGCATTCGACTTAACTGCAATTCAGAGGTAAATGATAAAACGGCTTGCCATACGGGTCAGGTTTAGTAAGTTCAGATTCTTGTTGTTTATTTGTTTTATTCTTCTTTTTTGATGTTCCAGAGTTCCTTAATAGGTAACCTGTAATTTTATCCGCCTCACGATCTTGGCCGCTCATTATTATCAGTAGATTTTGTGGGTTTTAGGAAGAGCGAGAAGGAAAGCTATTCTTCCCCAGAGACAGCCATGTTGAAAAAGTGACTAAATCATCCTTAGGACAGGGGTGGCGCCAGCATTTGCCCGACGGTGGGGCCGAGGTCCCCGACGAGGTGGTTGGGGGGGGGGGCAATGCCCCGACGAGGCGGGGGGGGCAATGCCCCGACGGGGCGACGAAAGCAAAGTGGGCGTGGTCGAGCTTCGATTAAAAGATTTCGAAAGTGATCCAGGGGGCGAAGCCCGAAAATTTTGACAATTTAGGGGTTTCAAAGGCTTATTTAATCGATCGAGTCTACTAATATGTAAAATATACATATAATTTTTTTTCTTTCCGATGAATACAGAAGACACTACAAACTACATAAGTGTCTTCCTGAACGGTGTTAATTACGGTAATTATTATCTCATCTACACAGTTAGCTAAAATGACATTCATATTTTTTGCAGATGTACCTGATACGAATGGGTCTCATAAAATACATCGTTAATAATAATATTATTAGACTATCATTAGTTTATCGCTCTGATTTTGATTATTAATTCATCCAATTTCCAATTAATGTCAAATTGTATTCAATTTAACTGTCGCCACCAGCTGATATCAGAGACAGAGACTAGAAATGCGTTTCCTTTTTTCTTCATTCCACCATCGGCCGATTTGTATAGCTGTGTGTGACATGTAGTAAACGTGTAATGTAAAAACAATATGTATTAGAAAATCATTTTCAATATCTAAAACAAACCTCGTATAGGACCTTATAAAATCTAGTAGGGCCTTGGCATTGCTCTTCAACAAAAAGTACATTTTCCAGATGTATGAATAAAGTGTCTATGGTTGGACTCAAACCTAACCAACATGTTCCTATTCGTGTACTGTTATTATATATATATATAAATATATATATATATATAT